AATGCCAATTTAATAGAAGAAAGTATTCTTGCATTGAGGGAGTACTTGAGTGGAGGCCCAATGTCCTTCTGCTAACTTAATACTAAACCTATAAATATAGGCACATAGATCTATTTCCCCATCCTCATATAAGTATATTTGTATATGTACATGTCTTTATCTAGACCTCTATAAATGCCATTTGGTGGTGGCAATTCTTAATAAACCTGGATATTAGTTTCAACTAAGTCTTCAATCAGACTAGTTGGTTTTAAATTTAAGTATATGTTATTATATGTACAGTTTTATTCTCATACACTGAATGTTTCTCCCTTACTTTCCCCATCTTCAAAGTGGGGATAAAAATAGAATCTACTTCATAGAGATGTGTGAGGGTTAAATAGCTCACATAGGTTTAAGTCACGTAGAATGTGCTCTCTAAATGTCACTTTTTATTTCACAGGTGGTCATTATACTCACATTAGGATGCCTTCGAGAATGGTGTCCGGAGCAGTTCCTCACAGAGAAGTCCACATAGTAACCAGTTCTTTCCCCTCCCCTCTATAAAACAATTTCAGAACAATATACAGTTACACAAAAATAGCTACCTCTAGCTAATATCCTGTAAAAACACTATGAGGATTTGGACTCACCACTGTGTGCCATTTTCTATGGTTTCCATCTAGTTTTCTAAAAACTGCCTAAGTTATCAAATTAACCCAATTTTATTAGAGAGAACCACGTGATAGAGATAAGCGAGCAAAAGGTGGCCCTCCCCACACCCTAATTTCCCGGTCCCAGATGCTCCACTAGCGGTCATTGGCATGTTATTCATTCTAGCCTCTTCCTAGACACGCGTGCGCGCGCACGCACACACACAAACATCTAATTATTTAATATAAATGGGTTCATAGTTGAAGTATTTTTTATTTTCTTGTGCGCTTTTTAAAACATAGTGATTTGGGTAGAAGTTGACCCCAATATAGCCCAAGTTATAGAAATGGGTTTCCCATCTAGCACTTTGTCTACAAGGTAACAGCACCGTCCCCACTTTGTCCTCGTGTTTTGCCGTTTTCCTCCATCTTTCTTTATGGGTCCCTCCTTCCTTCTGAGCCTTATCCCCGGGAAAAAGAGGCCTCTTCGGTCTCGAATGGCTCATCTAAGAAAAGGGTACCTGCCTGGTGCTATTGTTAACCTTATTCCCTGCTTGCTTATTTTTGTTTGGCTGGAATTCAAGCGATGGGGATGAGTTCTGCTCCAGGCCTGAAGGATATCCGAGGGCCGTAGTCTCGGAGGTGTGCATAGTGTTTCAGAACCTGCTTTTGCTTTCCTAGTCGTTTAAAATGCTTTCCGGTCTAGGCCCCAACCTGTCTTTTGAATACATTGTGCTCATTTTCTCTTTTTTTGTGCACCACAATTTGTTTAACTGTGGGTTTTGAAAAGGCTCCACAAACATCAACCAGCTATTCTACATGACAATGCGACTAGGCAGGAATTTGGAGGGCCCCTGGATTTGGAGGATAAGCAAACTGTCAAGTCTCAACCATACAGCTTGGTGTGGTGATGTCTCTCCGAGCCTCAGATTTCCACCATAATCCAAGGATGTTAGGATCAGTTGAGTTTTGAAAACTCATAACACTCCAATACTGTTCTTTCTTTCCTTTAGAACTCCATGCTCCTTCTCAGATCATCACTCCCTACCCTCAGCCACCCCCCCACCCCACCCC